AGGCACAACCTGTCACTGCCCAGCATGGTGGCAGCCCCCCCACCAGTGACAAAGCCCCTGGCTGTGCAGAGCTTTGAGGTGAGGGTGGGGGGCACAGAGGGGTCCTGGTGTCACTGCTGGGGGGGACCCAGGAACCACGTCCCTGTCTGCAGGTGAAGGTGGGCAAGTCACAGCGGGCAGCCCTGACCGTGGACGTGGAGTCGGGCACCGTGGCCATCAGCAAGCGGGGCAACGGGTCCCCAGAGGAGACCATCCCCCACGACAAAAGTAAGGGGCTGCTGACCCCCCCTACCAGCCACCGATGGGGCTCTGTGGGGCTCTGTGATTCCTTGGGACAGGCTTGATACCAGGGTGATGGGCTGCAGACCCTGAACACAACCCAAGCCCCCACCCCACACTGCCTGCCACCCCCACGATGGGTGGTGGGGGGCCACCATTGCCCCCCTCACTCCCGGTGTCCAGTCCTGCAGCTGATCAAATACCAGAGCGTGCCGAGCAAGGTGAGGCTGGTGTACAACCGGGAGCTGCAGAAGAGCCTGAGCAGAGACTTCATCTTCCCCAGCGCACGGGTAAGTGGCACCAGTGGCCTCGCTGGGTGTCCTGGGGGTGTCCTGGGGGGATACAGAGCCCCCCAGGATTACAGAGCAATGCAGCAAACCAGCTCCTCTGCCCAGGGATGATGTTCTCCAGGACATCTCCCAACCTGGCCCCCACCAGCATCTTCTGGGGTGCTGCAGCTCCCCCGTGGGACCCTAAGACACCCATATCATCCCACAGAAGCGAGAAGCCTTTTGCCAGCTGCTGCAGCTGATGAAGATTCAACACTCCAACTTGGATGAGCCCGACCTCATCTCGGTGTACATCGGGACGTGGAACATGGGTAAGGGGTCAGGATAAGATCACATTGTCCTGGGAGGTCGTCACAGCTTGTTGTGAGCCCAGCTGGGTTTTGGGAGGTGAAGGCTGTAGGGAGCTGCACCAGCAAACCTGAGGTCTGAGCTGGTCCTCAGTGGGAGGAGGAAGCTGGAGAAGACCCTGACCTGGCCACCTTTGGGTTTGTCTGTCCCATCGTGATCCGCTCACCCCGTGGTTGTGGGGGAAATGGAGGAGCTGGGATACTGGGAGAGCTTTGGATGGTAGCAATAAATCCCAGCACCAGTCTGGGACGTGCTTGGGTGGACCATGGGGCTGGCGTGATGGTCCCCAGTGGCTCCTGCTCTAGGGTTGGAGAGGAGCTCGAGGAGCCTGGCACGCTGTCCCTCCCGGTGACCCGCTGTCCCCTGCCTGCAGGCAGCACGCCACCACCCCGCTCCCTCGCCTCCTGGC